TTGCGACCTCTTTTTCTTCATTTTTTTTTTTTTTTTTTTGAAAGTGCAGATTTAAAAAGAATGTGTCTTATAAATTATACTCTTGTTATACCTTTCTGGCTGCCAATCAGACAAACGTTCCTGTAACTTTCTGGTTGTTTAAGAGACAGCAATTGCCCAGAGCAACCGCCCTGCAAAGACTTCTTATTGAGCTTCATTGGGAAGTCTGTGAATCGACAGTCACAGAAAGTCTGGGCGGGGTTAGAAGTGGATAACTTTCTAACAACTGCAGCTTTTGCAAGCTGTTTTTACATATACGGAAACCATGGGCATCCGCAGGAATTTTTCCAGGGGGGGGGCATATTTGTAATGACATCCATGCTTGCTCCCTTTTTGACAGTTTTAGTAAAGGGAAGGGGTATAGTCATTATCACATAAAGCCAGGGTGAATAGCGTTTTCACAACTATGGTGTCAGGAATACATGTTTGTATTCCTGACACTATAGTGTTCCTTTAAGCAAATTAAAAGAACATTCTGGTCACCATAACAACTTAATCTAAATGAAAATGCTATGATGCCTGGAAGCCCCTGGGTGCTGTCTTTCCTTTAAGGGGTTAAACTTCTCTCAAATGGTTTAACCCCAAAGGCTTCCTCCAGCTCCATATCTCAAGGTCACTCTGTAGTATTCAGCTTCTGAAACAGAGTGTCAAGAAGTGCAGATTGACGTCAGGCATGGGTGCTGCAGATTGGCTAGAGTGGTCAGCTGATGCTCTAAGCCAATCGCTAGTTCCCGGTTCATAAAAATGTTTTACTTTTTTATGAATGGGATGCTACTCATTGGCTTAGAGTGCCAGCTAACCGCTCTAGCCAATCAGCATCACCCCTACCCAGCGGCACTCTGTGCTTCCTGACACTCAGTAAATAAAAGTGAACACATTAACACTGATATTTTTTTTTTACCTGGGGAGATGAGAAGGCCCAAATTTTCCCTGCCATGCCCAGGTACCAAATAAAGTGGAGGGTTCAATTCACTTGTCCTCCCTGTTTCAATTTCCTTTTATTCTCCTTTATTTGACACAGTCTTCTTTTTCTTCTGACACTGTCTTCTCTCCTCTTTGGCTCCTTTCTGCTCCTTTCTGCTTATTTTGCGCCCTTCTGCTCCTTTATCTTTCTGATCCCTTTCCCTTCTGGTTCTTTCTGCTCCTTTACCTTTGTGCTCCTTCTGTCCCTTTCTGCTCTTTGCAGACCCATCCTTCTCCTTACAGACCCTTCCTGCTACTTGATGCCCCTTGCAGACCCTTCCTTCTCCTTGCTGCCCCTTCCTGCTAATTTCTGCTCCTTCTCCTACTTTACGTTTGTGCTCCTTCTGCCCCTTCCAGCTCATTGCTGACCCTTCTTGTAGGCTGCCTCCCCCATGCCTCCCTTCCCTGATCTATAGGATGTCCCCCCATGCCTCACTTCCCTGATCTATCTATCCCCACCCCCCCCATGCCTCACTTACCTGATCTGTAGACTGCCTCCCCATCCCTCACTTACCAGATCTGTAGGCTGTCTCTGCAGTCTAGGAGTTGCAGGCTGCACTGCATGTGCTGCTCCCCTGCAGATGCAGTCAGGAGAGAGAAGCAGGGAAAAGATGTAGCTTCCTATCCCTGTCTCTCTCCATACACAGCGCCACCTACTGGCCGGCCGGTATTGCACTGTATTGTCAATCTCACAAGTAAAAAAGGAGAACAAGCTAAAAAATCCAGGGGGGACCCCCCCTTGCCCCCCCTTAGGATGCCCATGATGGAAACAGTAGTAAAGGGTCAGTGCTGATAGAACAAACTGTCAAAAGTGAAATTAAGGCACCTTTCCTCCAAAAGGAAGGGAATCCCTCTATCCCTATAGTAGTGAGGCAAGAACAAAATATAAAAAAGTGTAGAGGATTAGCGCCACTCTAAAAAGACACTAGTGAGAAGATTATAACTAACATAAGATGCCTTAAAAACAAATAAATATAAATATAAAATAAGATAAATAGAAAATAAAATATTAAATATAAGTCCAAGATAGAAAGTCCAAAAAAAAGATGATGGTATATACTTTCCAGAGGAGCAATCACAAACTTGTTCAAGGAAAATCTTCTTGTTGTGATATCAGATGTGGTCCGTATGTGGATAGAAGGAGAGGATAATGGTGCAGTATGTCCAGAAAATATAAAAATAAGAATAAAAGCAAATATGGTCCTACTCACGTTTTTTAGAGCTTTAAGCCAGCTCTAGTATTAAAGGCGTACAGTGGTACAATCCCCACTTATAGGATACATGAAGAATGGTTTCAACGATGTATGAACTAAAAAATAAAAAGAAACAATAGTGCTCACTGTATAAAATCAACCAGAAGAATAAATAAGAGAATATTACTCACATTAACCAGCGCAGTCAAACTGCTCTATGGATAGGGCGCGGGTCGAATAATCCCCACCTAAGGATTTCTTGAGTAGTTCTTACTGGAAGTAAAATCAGGATACCAGGCAATAAAATAAAAGAATAATAACTGAGTAAAAAGAGTAAAATGGCACACTCAATGTAAAAGTAGCCAAAATACCTTTTTTAACACAGTAGTAAAAACAAATTAAAAGTCCATAACTCGTTTCGTCACAAGGGGCTTCTTCAAGTGTACATAGTATTAGCCTGGCACATATGGGTTTATATAGGGCCCAAACAATCAACAATGACCTTTGCAAACCCTTTATTTACTTGCCTTTTCCCAGTGCTGATGTCCCTCAGCACTGGGCCGCCTTCCCCCGACAGCCCATGACGAGCGGGTGCTAACACGCATTAGACCTCCCAATAGGAAAGCATTGAATCAATGCTTTCCTATGGGGAAAAATCTGACGGTGCATATCCTCATGCAGAATTCGAGGACATCTAGCATCAGACACATACACAGACATACATACATACTGACAAACAGACATATATACATACTGACATACACACACACATACAGATAGACACATACATACAGACATACACACAGACATACATGCATACAGACATACATATACACATACATATTGACACACACACAGACATATATACATACTGACACACACACAGACATACGCAGACTTACATGCATAGTGATATACATACACATACATACTGACATACACACACACAGACATACACACATACATACTGACACACACACAGACATATATACATACTGACATACACAGACATACATACTGACATACATACAGACATACACACATACATACATACAGATATATATGCATACTGACATACACACAGACATACAGATAGACACATACACATACATACACAGACATACATGCATACTGACATACATACTGACATACATACATACATACAGACGTATATACATACTGACATACACACACACACACAGACATACATGCATACTGACATACATACACACATACATACTGACACACACACAGGCATATATACATACTGACATACACACAGACATACATACTGACATACACACAGACATACATACAGACATATATACATACTGACATACACACGCACACAGACATACACAGACATACATGCATACCGACATACATACTGACATACACACAGACATACATACTGACATACACACAGACATATATACATACTGACATACACACACACACACACACACACAGACATACATGCATACTGACATACACACAGACATACATACTGACACACACAGACATATATACATACTGACATACACACACACACACACACACACACACAGACATACACAGACATACATGCATACTGACATACATACAGACATATATACATACACACAGACATACACACAGACATATATACATACTGACATACACACACACAGACATACACAGACAGACATGCATACTGACATACACAAATACATACTGACACACACACAGACATATATACATACTGACATATACACACACATACAGATAGACACATACACACATACATACTGACATACATGCAGACACATACATATACACACACACACTTCATTTATCAGCCACCCTCCTCTTACCTGCATATTAAATATATTTATTGCTTCCTTGTGATCCTGTCCCCTCCCCCCACACCTTTTAAGTTTAAAAAAATAAATAAAATAAATAAATGTTTACTTACCTTGTTTCCAATGCTGAGACTCAGTCCTTGCAGCCACTGACTGCCTCACATCTTGTAATCTTGCCTGCTGACCCTTCTTTGATTTCTCATCCAAACCAAAGCTCATATTGAAGAATTGGGGCTGACAAGTGCTACAATCTTCCATTTGAATGTTTCTTATTGAGTAGTACTGCATCCAATGCTTCTCTATGAGAAAAAGTGACCTCTAACATCAAAGAACCAAGTCATACTTGGTTCTGAACACAGAATGCCAATCAATTTGCTGTCAGGGAGACAGCCACTACAGATGTGTTTAGCCCTGCAATGTAAACATTACTGTGTCTTCAAAACAATGTTTTAAATTTCAGGATCAAAACGACAGAGCACCGGACCAAAATAGCAGAGCTCGGCCCCCAGAGCATTTTATTGAAAAACTGAGTTTTCTTTTAAATAACCTCTTTTTACTAGTTAAAATGTAGCTGGTATATTTAAATAATATATATATACATGTACTTGAAAATTGTCGAAAACTAAATTAACCTTGGGGCGAGGCCGTGACTTGAATGGAGCTAGACGCATAAAGGACTAGCTCCGTAGGACTGAGCAAATAATAGACTGATTCCACAGCTTATGACCGGATGAAAAACAGTTACTACATCTGCTGAGAAATAGAGACAAACTATGGCGAGCATATAATCCAGAAAACAGAGACAAAAGACCGTAAGTCTGCAGATTTCGGCCTCATCACCTCCAAGCACGCAGAATCAAGATGGCACAGATACGGCGTGCTTCCCGGCCTCAGAATCAGAGGCAAGTGATGTCACCTCTATATCCCATCTATTAAGCTCCTGCTGGCAGACCTTAAGCAGACCATGAGAGCTGACTTTCAAAAATTAGCTGCAGAAATTAAGAGAGATGTGCAGGCCATTGGAGAGCGCATGGCCCACTTAGAGGACAAAATGGAGAAGGTCATTGAGGCACATAACACCCTGGTGGACACCTACACCATGTTCCAGACTTGGATACAGCAGCTGGAGACAAAGGAGGTGGACTTCGAGGATAGAACCCGCAGGAACAACATCCGTCTGCGTGGCATATCTGAGGATGTCAAGCAGCCCGAGCTGAGATAATATGTCACTCAACTTTTCCGTTCCTTACTACCGGAGGCATCAGATCAGGATCTGCAACTGGACAGAATCCACAGGTTGATGAAACCCCAAAATCTACCAGCGGCAGTTTCAAGGGACACCATTGTACGGTTACACTTCTACACCGTTAAGGAGAGACTCATAATGGCAGTTTGGGATAACCACAGCCTGGGAGAGTGTTTCAAAGGAGTCCAGCTGTATACTGTATACTGTAGGGACAATGGCTCAGAGGAGAGCTTTTGGCCCTATTACTAAAGCACTTAGAAAGGCATCCATACCCTACAACAAGAGTGGCCTGGTGCACTGGAACATTCCCTTACCACGGATTCATCAACTGGGGCTCCACCTGCCCAAACATCCCGAGTGTCTGGAGATTGGCACCGAATGTGAAAAGCGTATGATAGACACTTAAGTTGCTTCCTTTAGAGTAAGTATGTCAAACATTGCAGCACCGCATGCGGCCCACAATGGACATCTTTGCGGCACGGGGAGCTGCGAGTGCATGCTTAGTGTTAAAGCAGCGTAGGCACCTGCTTTCTCCACCTTGCAGGTGCCTACTCTGCTAAAAGTTACCCGGCCAGAGAGGAGAGGTTCCTGGTGGCAGCGAGGGAGCTCAGCCTTCCTGCTCCCTCACGCGCACAGTCTGTAGTGATGCTGGACAACGGAATATGATGTAATTTAGGCACCCAGCATTACTAAACGGCACGCAAGGGAGCAGTGAAGAGCAGGAAGGAGATCTCCAGATAGAAGAGGGCCCACACCAGCTCCCAAAGGTAGGTTGCAATAAATAAAATGATGTGTAAATGTGTGTGTCTGCCAATGAGTGTGTCTGTCTGTGTGTGTCAGCAAGTGAGTGTCTGTGTGTGTCTGTCAATAAGTGTGTGTCTGTGTGTGTGTGTCAGTGAGTCTGTGTGTGTGTGTGTCTCTGTTTCTGTCAGTGAGTGTGTGTGTGTGTTGGTCAGTGTTGCATTGGCTGTGACTGAACAGTGGAGTACCTGAAGGGTGCATGGAGGCACGCAACGCCATGTCACATTCTGACATGACATCGACGTGCTCCACCTTCACAGGATTTCAAGAAGTAGCGGGAGGATCAGATTTGGCACAGAGTGCGGACGGTGCCATTTTGGGTATACCAGAGGCCGGACTCCAGAGTTGCATACTGGCAGTGGCAGTGTGAGTGGAGTCTAATTGTTGGCTAGAGGGGGGTACTGGGATTTAGTAGAGGGGGATGCTGTTTTTTTTTTTTAATACTGTACTCTTCAAAATAAACCTACGTTTCTATGAATATTTAAGGATTTTTTTTTTGAGGCCCACGTAAACTTAAACCTTGTTTATGTGGCCCATGCCAGACTTTAAATTTGACATGCTTGATTTAGAGCGAGAGAATGTGTTACGGTATGCAGGTTAGCATGAGTTTTGAGGTGGGGGGGGGGGGCTATTGCCCCATAAAAGGTAGTATAGAGGGTTCAAGTTGTGGGGGTGCCCAGTGGCATCGCCCAGATCACACTGATGAATGGACCCCCTGTAGCCAAATAACTCTTGCCCGGCTCTGCGCAAGCCTCATCTAAGTTACACCACAGTTGTGCAGCACAAAAATAAATAAATAAACAATAATAAAAGAAAAAGGAAAGAAAAACAATAATAAAATTTTTTTTTTAAAACAAAACAGGATAAGTTTATTTGCTAGGTATATTTCCATGCTTATCCTGATATTGTTAAATAAAAGGAGGCTAGCACTCTTGGAAGTGAAAAGGGCAAAAGCCCAAATCAAATTTTTTCAGGAAGCCCATTTTCAATGGGGTAAGAGGCCTAAATTCAATTCTCCCCTATACCCATTCGAATTTCACTCTTGCTTCTCTTAGAAGAAGAGGGGGGTATTGATTTTTATTGGTAAAGATGTGGTGTTTGAACAGGTGAAAAAACATACAGACAAACAAGGAAGATATTTAATTTTTCAATGCCTGCTGAATAATGCCCCATACACTTTAACCCCTTAAAGACACATGACGTGTGAAACGTCATGATTCCCTTTCATTCCAGAAGTTTGGTCTGGGTTAATCTATACGGCTACAAGACATCTTAATCAAATCCTCCTAGAACAGAATTTCATAGACCCATGGAGATTGACACGCCCTTGAGAAAAAGACTTTGCATTTCACTCATTGGCACACAACTCGTACTCCTGAATAGACCGATTTTTAATATCCACCTCCCTGATCAGCAACATAGTCCACACAACTGTAGATCTTATAACGTGGTCGGACCATGCTCTGATTGTACTCCACCTAAATTAACAATTTCCTGCTAAAGGGAGGGGAACCTGGCGTCTTAATGAGAATCTGCTTACTGACCCCCAGATATTGGAGGACCGTAGACAACTGGTTTCTTACTTTGAAATCAATTCCCACCCGCACACGTTGATAGAAGCTACATGGCTAGCCCACAAGGCATATATAAGGGGAGTATTGATTAAACACGCAGAGTTAAAGCAGCATGTCTGGCCAAATATTTAAACATCACTAACTGCCTCACGAAATTGAATACATTCAATAAACAAAAACCCTCAGAGACACATCTACAGCATATTAAATAACTAAGAACGCAATTACAAGAACTTCAGGTGGCCCAAACCAATTTTTTCTTAAGACGACTTAAAGCGAAATTTCATGCACAGGGCATCAGTGCAGGGAAATTATTAGCATCTAGACTTAAAAAACAGGGTCTAGCAACTAAAATAGCGTATATCCTTAACCCATTGGGTCAGAAAATTGTAAATCCTGACAGGATAGTACAGAAATTTGCTAAATGTTACCATCAACTATACAATCTCAAAGAAGATGGCCTGACATCCAAACCTACACAAAAACAGATAGATGAGTTCCTAGGAAAAGTCCAGCTGCAATCTCTGCCCACTGAAAAGATCCCCAATCTGATTAAGCCGATCTCAGGGGAGGAAGTTACTCACCTGATTAAACTATTACCTAATGCTAACTCGCTAGGGCCAGATGGTCTCTCCTCCATCTACTACAAAACTTTTCAAAAGGTCATTACCCCCCATCTAGTCTCTGTATTTAACCTAGATTTTATTCAGGGCAAGCTACCAGGCGAAATGCTGCACGCCCACATTTACACATTGCCTAAGCCGGGCAAAAAGCCTACTGTGTGTGCTAACTTCTGTCCGATATCCCTATTAAATATAGATCCCAAACTCTATGCTAAAATCCTTGTGACCAGACTCAAAAACTTGCTCCCCAATCTGATTCATTATAACCAATTAGGATTTATCTGGGGCAGACAGGGCTCGGATAATTCTAAACTTCTTCTGAATGTCCTGGAGGATCTCAATACCAACAAAGTGGGGGCTCTGTTGCTGGCATTGGACGCAGAAAAAGCCTTGGATAGGCTCAATTGGCTATATAGAAATCTAATTCAGAAAAATTTAGCTTCCCTTCTTCGTTCATAATGGTGATCATGGCTCTATATATCTCAACAGAAGCTAGCGTTACCAATGCAGGGTTTATATCCCCTCCCTTCCCAATCACGAACGGAAAGAGACAGGGATGCCCTCTGTCCCCTCTGCTTTTTATCCTCTGCTTAGAACCTCTAGCTCAGGCCATCAGGCAAAACCCAAACATTCATGGAGTCACTGTCAAAGAACACCAATATAAATTATTGCTGTTCGCTGACGACATATTGTTAACACAACCGAACATATCGCTTTCAAATCTCATGCCTGTCCTGGAAAATCTCAGCTTTTGCCGATATATAATATTCCTCAGAAAAGAATAGAGGCATTGCGAAAGGCTTTTAACTTTGATTGGAGGATGGAGTAGGTAACCTATTTGGGAGTGCGAGTTGCCAAATCGGTAAATTCACTATACAAGTTAAATCATGTGCCATTTCTAGAGACAGTTCGCAGGGATCTGAACTCATGGAAAGGCACAACGCTCTTGTGGACAGGGCAAATCAATGCTATGAAAAGGATGGCCTTGCAAAATCTACTCTATCTATTCCGAATGTTACCTATAGACATCCCACTGGCTTTTTGTAAGAAAGCTCAATCCATAATCAATAGCTTTATATGGGAGAACAAGAGAGCAAGAATAAGAAAACATACACTATACAGACCTTTCAAAATGGGAGGAATGGGTGTGTCTAATGTGGCAACATAGGCGTGCGCAGCCTATTGCATTAGGGTGTGCACCCTAAAGTAAAAGCACACGCCGCATATATGTATGTGTGTGCTGTGTGAGGGTGCTGGTAGTGTGCTATGTGGGTGAGGGTGTTTGTGTGTGTGTGAGCTTGTGAGGGTGCTGTTAATGTACTGTGTGTGAGGGTGCTGTTTGTGTGTGAGGGTACTGGTAGTGTGCTGTGTGTGTGTTTGTTAGGGTCCTGTTAGTGTGATGTGTGAGGGTGCTGTTTGTGTTTGTGAGGGTACTGTTAGTGTGCTCTGTGTGTGACGGTGCTGTTTGTGTGCTGTGTGTGTTTGTGAGGGTGCTGTATATGTGTGTGTGGGTGCTGTGTGTGTGGGTGCTGTGTGGGTGGGTGCTGTGTGTGGATGATGTGTGTTCTGTTTGTGTGCTGTATGTGTGAGGATTCTGTGTGTGTGTGGGTGATGCTTGTTTGCTGTATGTGTGTGGGTGCTGTGTGTGTGTTGTATGGGTGTGTGTGTGCAGTATGTGTGTGGGTGCTGTGTGTGTGTTGTATGGGTGTGTGTGTGCAGTATGTGTGTGTGTGCTGTATGTGTGTGTGCTGTATGTGTGTGTGTGAGCTGTATGTGTATGCTGTTTGTGTGCTGTATGTGTGTGTGCTGTATGTGTGCTGTCTGTGTGTGTGTGAGTGCTGTTTGTGTGCTGTATGTGTGTGTGTGCTGTGTGTGCTGTATGTGTATGTGTGCTGTATGTGTGTGCTGTTTGTGTGCTGTATGTGTGTGTGTGCTGTTTGTGTGCTGTATGTGTGTGTGTGTGTGTGTGTGTTGTATG